CTCATAATTTGCCTCGAAATTTCTGGTCCTTTGACCAACTACCACCTTGCTGATGCCCTAAGACATGTGTAACTGATGTACTGATATCGCTTTATAATTTTTTTTTATTTAAAAATGATGTTTAGTTCCCAATCTAACTTTAGAAAATATTTGGGAAAAGCAGGCTGCATGTCATATGGAAAGATAGAGTATGCGCAAATAAAGAGACCCATAACCTACCCGAGTTTTGTCGTCAGGATTCTTCAATATAGCTTCAATTACCTGAAGCATTGGAGTAATTCCTGTGCCTCCAGCAATCTGAGTGGCACAATAAAAAGCGGATTAATAAAGACCAAGTATGCATAGCTTGAGAATGTGTCATGGTTACCGGCTAGTATGGTTAAAATTCTATAATCAAATGCCAATCAACAAAAGAATGAGTAAATAGAAACAACAAAGTGCATTTTCGCCCCACAGGAAGGGGGGGGAGTGGAGGCCCCAAACATAGATAAGAGAATTGGATTATTGGAACAATAATAATTTTTAATGATGCATGTTGCAACGTTTAGAAAAGGGTTCTGGAAATTTGTGCACCGCAATATTGCAATGCCTTGTTCATATCATTATAAATCCTAAAATATCAAACAGTGTCCAAATAAAACAATAATGAACAGCTTAATTCATTTTACCCCGTAATAATCCAAAAAACACAATTGTATCAAGCATTAATACATTACTCCTCACATACCACCCAGTCAAGCTAGTGATTTCATTTCAAGTTCTTTCTCTAATTTAGTACGTAGTGAGCACAAGGAACAACAGTGGCAGGCAATTTTCATTGAAGGAACTTTACAAGTAGCATTCTACACCTTAGTTATTTGCATAATGACCAAGAAAATCATATCCTTCTTTAAAGAAAAGGGTTTAAGAAAATAAGAGGTGCAATGATTCGAGCTACAACATAGTGGCCTTTGCATGCCATTCCAATTTAGATAGATCATAATTGTTGCATGGCAAGCACTGCACCGCATGCCACGACCTGCCATTAACAAGTACGAGTTGGACCCTCCACCAGATTCACAAACATGAAAAAAAAAAAAAAAACACTGCTGACTAATCTAAATCATGATAATCGATAGTTCAATTCTGACTCCCAGATTTCATCACCGCCAATGAATGCCATAATCAAGAGACTTACCATGCCAATATGCTTCTTCATGTTGGGCGTATATCGGAGCTTTTCAATGGGCCTGGAAAAAGCGATAACATTCACATATAAAGTTAAAGGCAGGAGAAGTATTCAGTCGATCTTTTAAGGCTCTTGCAAATGATATACCCTTTCACTTCAACCACATCGCCTGGTTTCAGGCTTGCAAAATGCTGACTCATTTTTCCTTCAGGGTACACCTGCAACAATTTGAAATATAAAGCATTCAAGCAGCTCTCTTAGTTGCGGACTATAATAAATAACGAGACATGAACTGTAACTCCCCTAATGAGTGACATACCTTGATCAACAAATCAAAGTATCCCTTAGATTCTGGATCTGATATAGGAGTATACCTGGAGTTTGAAACATAAATACCTTCTTAAATCAATCTCTATGAAAGGCCAATGACTAGCAAAGAAATTAAAGTATCTAAGACATGACATCCAAATTAAGAGCAAACTTTAGTACTTTATTCTTCTCAAACTTCTACTTCCATCCTTTCCCTCAACCAAATTAGACTATTACTGATTATAACTAAAAATAAATAAATAAATAATTCCCTACATTGACATAGATTAAAATCAATTTTAGATTATATTGGAGCAACTAATTATAACATGAATATTCCACCTTAGAAGGATACAAATGAAAGAAAAGTAAAAATAAGTCATGCGTTGACTGTAAATCATAATAGCAAAGCTTCTTATACTTTCTAGTTTGATGCTTCCGTATTTGCCGATTGCGCCAGAGTTAACATGATGGAGAACTCTGCCCCTTGCTTTCTTACTCTCAGACGTTTTAACACCATCATATTACCCCCAAGTGCACCAAAAAGAATATAAAGAAAACAGTGCCAACATACAACTAGCTCTCGTAATAAAAGGATAAAACCTTTACAGTCTACAAGGCAATACGTTACAAAGCATATTTATTGCTGTTCTATTTTCTGGTGCTAGGGTAAGGCAAATCTTTGTTACATTCTGGCAAGATAGTGTAAGGGGATGTGGTAATGGTGTAAAAATACACAGTTCAAAAATTAATTTTACGCTACAAGATTCAAAGAAGGACAATGAAATAATCACTTAGCAAAAACACTTACGGACGAATGACATATTTTGGTTTTCCTTCAGCATCTGGTCCCAATGGAGCCCTGCAATTTCAGGGATGATTTGAGGGCACAACACAGTGAAACATATTTTAAAATTCTACATTATGTTGTAAAACCACATGAATCATAAACAGTAATAAACCTTGTAAGAATGCAAGAGGCAACATCCAAACCCAGCTTCTTATCGGGATCAAATGTAAACCTGAAATACAGAGGGGAGAGATGTTACGCTGAAATGAAAGGTAGGCAGCAGAATCACACGTAGAGAGGCATTTACATACATGAAAGTAATAGAATTATGAAAAAGCTTGCTTTCAATTTGCTATTTATAGCATACAATTCATAATAAAATTCAACATTGATTAATGATAAACAAATTAGTTATCCTCATACGGTCATACAGAATTACTGAGGAGCAACTAAAATAACAAAAATCTACAAAAGAAGTGTGATATGGACCAACGCTTCATGTTAACAGCATGTATAATGCTAAAAAGATTATGCTCAAGTTATATATTTTAGGCCTTTGCGTTTGCAATTTAGATTGAAATATTTTCCCTAATTACTTCTCTCATGGAAATACTGATTTATATCCAACTTTCTCCAGAAAGACTGAACATCAACTTAAGCTGCATGTCATAAAGGATATGGTGACTCATGTGACCGACTGGATACAAGGAGGCACATTTCATGTGGCTTACATCCTTTTAATTGAAAAGTGAGTGACATGAGTCAACAAAATCAGAGGAAATTAAAAAAAAAAAAAAGGCGTCACCCTGAAAAATCAGATAGTGATCAATACATTTAACATCATTGACAAAAAAAAAATTCATAATTTGTGTTTGTCCTATACAGTATACCTGAATAACTTGGAATTGTGACTAACCCTGGCAGTGTCTTGCAACTTAAATTCGATCCATTTATCAGGAACCAAAGCTGAAATGATTAGAAGAAATCCTCAATCTTCCTAATGAAACAGTTGAAATAAAACAAATTCAACTAACATGTGCCATAAACTAAGAACAATCATATAAAAAAGAGAAATATCTTTGTCACCATATTTGATTCAGAAACAAGCAGTTCCCACAATGTTTCTTGAGAATTGACCTTAGGACTCTAACTCCATGAATCATTATAATGATAAGTAATAACAATAAATAGTTCTTGTAGTAAATTTGTACCGACGATGGAAAGTGACAAATAATTATGTTCAACTACGCGGGTGCTTGAATGATACATGTTCACCTACAGAGGAATATACTCACCAATATTTTGACTTTTCTCTTCTTTTATTTCATCCAAGTGAACCTACAGATGGACATGGCTTGAGTATTCTGGTCAGACAAGAACCGATACTAGAACAAAAAATTCAAATAAAATACTGCAAACAAGGGGCAGTTATTTCAGACAAACTACAAATTCAAGATGAAAAAAAAAATTCTGTTGCTGTCATTCAAAATATTTGGACCAAATATTAAGCATACATTGTTCATGACTATTAGACAACATTGTTCCAACTAATTAAATTCATCTCATTACCAACACAATCCTAATCACATATGACATTATGGTTATCTTCCCGGAGTTTCTTTTTCCGTCATTTCGTTCTTGCCATATATCCCTCGGACATGGGGGACACTTGTTTTCATCCATCGAATGATCGTCCCAAGAGGTACGAGTGCAACAAACTACTTCAGATATCATAAGCTCTCTTCCGAGCCGCCAACAATCCGAAAATATACACAAAAAATAAGCAAGCGCAATTTCATCCATAGAAAACAACTCAAACCATGAGAATGACAATTTAAGTCGCATAATATATTTCACATTACACAGCAGCAAATCAGCTAGCAAGCAACTGCTGCACATCGCATTAGCGATCAGATGAGAAAAACAAAATGGCAGGATATCATAAGAAATTACCAGGTTGGGTGAGGAATAATAGTACAAGTAGGAGAATCCACCGGTGATCGCCGCAACTGCACCAAAAGGAACCCGAAACTCACTATGACTGGATTTGGAATGGCCACCAAGAACATTGGTCAATGAAATCGGAGTGGCTCTTGCCAGCCTTCGGAAGAAAGTCGCCATTTTCAGTTTGCTGAGGCAAGAAACGAATCAGTGGAAAGAGGGCTCCAGCTCAAGACTCCAACTTTAGGGGACGCCAACTGTCTAAATAAGAAGAAGGGCCTCCCTTGTTTGGGGCGTTTGTTTGGGAAATGTCACTGTGCGTTGAATCTATTCGAGAATGTGATGGACGATGGGTCACATGTTTGGGTGATGCGATATTGGGCCAAGTCAAAGTGTATACCATTTCAATGGAGGAACTCTTGCAACCTGTCGCCCCATTGCGTAGTGTGAACGGACAGGTCTTGATTTTCAGAATTTAGCCCAACTGGTGTTATTTCAGGATCTTGAACAATGAATAGCTGGTATTTAATGGAGTATTTGGTTGGACAAAATTTTAAGTATAATTTTTAATTTTTAATAATAACATGACATGTAAATACTTTTGTAAGTCGTTGGCATTAAAAAAAAAAAGTAGATACTTTTGTAAGTTTAATTGCATCTTGTCCATCATAGAAACTGTGCAGTAAGGCTACACTGTAATGACTTATTTATTTGTTCTATAACTAATTCATTATTATTTAGATTGTATTTAAATCAAGAGGGACGTTTACATTGAAATTGAGACCAACAAGATGGCCAAGAAAAAGAAGAATAATAAATTAAGGAAAGAAACCATAGCAGTATAGTATCTCCATTATAAAATGACGATCTCTAGTTGTTGACTTTGTTGTCTCAGGGCATACCACTCGCCCTTATCACTTATCAGTACTAAATCTCAGGTTCAATCCCATATGTGATCTCTTGTAATTAAAAAAAAAAAAAATTACGATCTCTAGCTGAGAAGATGGTAAAGCAGAATGCAGAGTGTAACAAAATCTTTACAACAAATTGAAGAGAAGATATAACTAACGAATTTCAGCCAGTTCCACAAATTTTAGAGGAACCAGTAGGTTGTTGTCAACCGCAAGGAATACCAAAAGGTACATTTTGGAAGGCCCAAGAGGAAATCAGACGATGGGCTATTGCATGAGGTCCTGGAACAAACATGGAAGCAAGTTCACCACTTTCTACGTTAAACCCTGCAGTTAAGCTCTGACTTTTTTCCACCCCCTTGCACATTTGTTCAACCTTTGACGCCGCAGTTCCTTGGGCTTTCTTGTACTCTGCCGCTGTCAATGCTTTTCTCACAGCTTCTCTACTGTACCACTGAGCATCTACCCATGCAAGTTGCAGATCCCATAATGGGGACAAAGAAAGAAAGAAAAACATTTGGTAAGATTGATACTGGGTAAGATTTCGACAGAGTTAATTGAAGAACTTAATAATGCACAAGGTACCTTCTAACTCTTTCTTGTCCACATTGATGTCAAGGGATTTTGCATATGCAAAGAATCCAACCATCAGCTGGCATGGCATGCTACTTGGTCCAACTAGGAACAAAGCCAATGCAGAATACATTATTAATTGACAGAAATAGGGAGAAACATATAATTTTAATTTTCTTAAGAAATGTACAAATAAGAGTATGCATAGTCATCCATTGTAACAGATTAAAAATTGCTACTCTCACAGAGTCTCGGGCATTTTCAAGAAATTATCCAACCAGACAGGATTCCCAGTGACAGAAAGAAGAAAGAGTATCTCCCATCCCCACCCTTCGGCATGACAGAAACATCAAAGTTTGGAGTTAAATTAACTGCAAGACATGCAACTTAAGTAATACCAGGCCATGGCTGAGAGCTGTGATATACAACCTCTCCCACTTCAATGCCTGTTTCTTCCCATGTTTCTCTTCTCACGGCCTCCTCCAAACTTTCTCCAGGCTAAAATGCAACAAGAGGATATAGGCTTACAGAATGTTGCCCCAAAAAAACAGGATTAGAACTGAAACAACTAGGAAATTATCCATGCATACAATTGATCCTCAAGCCAATGTAACCTGTTTTTAGTGACATCGCTTTTTCCTTCTTAGGAGAATATTGAACTTTCAACAGTTCAAAACCTAAAGTTTTTTGGTCCATCTGCACCCACAATGCTTACCAATTTAAAAAATGAAAAGAAATCCTAGAATTTCAGACGTTACAGAACAGAACTTCCTTAAATCTCAGACAGGAGACTGTCCTTTTTAATTTTTTGTTTTAATTATGGCCGTTTACAATGCCATTTGCTATTGTTGCACAGAAACTCCAATGATTTTACCTTCTATTTGGTCGGTTTAGATTTATAAATAAGAATAAGATATTGGTTAATCTTATAACATAAGACTTTGAATAATAGTCTGTAAGTTGATGAAGGCATCCACCTCTATGAAACCGGCTAAGCAGCTCCACATTCTTGGAACAAAACTTGATTTTCGACCCAAAAGGATGCAGTCATTCTCTCGGTCAATGACTAACATAATGACCACCTACATAAGATCACATGACCAGTGAAATCAGCAAAACACTCACCTCTATTGATTAATCACCACTTACAACAATAGCAAACCGGGTCAACTCGTGGATATATTCTCTTTCTGCATGATTCGTTAGAACATTGCTTTCGCCTCCCAGCTTCTATAGTAACTGTTTTCTCTCCACAGTGTCCACAAAATTGAGATATATTATGCCATTCCAGCAGTGCCCTGGCCTGGACAAACCCATTAATTAGGGAGACGCCGACCACTACACGTTTCATGGACTAAAGTATGATAAAAATTGACAACGAAGAAAGCTATATAATTACAAGCCGCCTTTTAACGTGTTTAATATGCAAAACCAAGGAATCAGAGAATTCCACAAAGTGTGCAACTTCTAATCGTTTTTGGACTTATAAAAAAAGATTATAATCACGTCTGATTTACTAATTATTGGAAAAGGGATGGAAAGAGCGTAACTTACATGACCAGCAATAGCCAAGTTTCCCATCGCTTGCAAGTCCGACCAATCGGAAGCAACCATGAGTGATCTCAACTCCACGAAACAGAAGTTCTTGCTTCCTAATTCAGCCAACAAGCCCTGCTCAGAAGAAACATCAATTGCCCAGTAAACGACATCGTCTTCTAAACACGAGCCCGCGTATACCAACGAGTCTCCACTCAATTGTCCACCAGAAGTTTCCAAGAGCACCTTGAGATCCCCCAAATTGACCCAACCCACATGCCAAATCTGCTGGGAATCCACGGAGTGAGCTGCCGAAGAAGAGGCTAAGGGTCTCCCATTTCTGAAAGGCAAGACCTTGAAACGTGGGGTGGATGAAGATTGAGTGGACACTGAAAGTTGAAATTTCAGGGATTCAAGAGCTGCGGTGGGTGAAAAGAGGTCGCTACGTTTGGAGGATCTGGATAATGGTGTATTGTCACTGTAGGCAGGAGGGTGCGAGTTGATGGACATGATGCCAAGGGAAGCCTTGTGTGATGAGAAAGCTCTGGATAGAGTAGTAGTATGAAGTGAAGTGGGAATTATGGAAGAGATGGTAGAGGATGAAGGCAATGGAAGAAGCTTTATCATCTTCTTGCATTGAGGCCTGTATTGAAGGAGGAAGAATGGAAGGTAACGGCCAGTGCCAGGGGTCGCTGAAGAATTATGTCATGAGTTAAGAGCGCCGATGACGACTTCATCGCTCACCTTCCTAATTGAGAACCTTGGCATTGGAACCGAAAAATCTTTCTATTGTCTTTTTTTTTTTCCTCAAATTAAACCACAATCTCCTTTCAAATTTAAAAATCAAACGGGGATGGAAATAAAATTCGATAATGCCATTGGGTTCAGTTCACTGGACAACCGTTCAGTTTCTTCATGTTCAATCATCAACATTTATAGCTCAAAAGGAATAACTGTGTATTTTTTTATTTTAATATTTTAGAGTTTTTTTTCCACTATTTTTCACATATTTTTTAAACAAATATAAATTTAATTAAATTATTAATGACTCATAGTAATACAACCTAGTAAATTTTTGAATTATATTTAGAAAAATATGTGCTTCTTATTTTTTACATTTCATAATTCAAGGATAGTATAAATTGTAATTGTTGAAATTTTTACATTTTACAATGATGGATATCAAAGGTTAAGTTGCTCTCTCTTTTTGTCAGAAGAGGTGTTCTCTTAGTTGCACACATATGGATGTGAGGATGTCTCTTTAACGAATTTTGGTATAATTTTTTTCACAGCCTGGATGTTAATTCTAATCTGTAAAACACATTCTCTTAAATTGCAGCTTTGCATTTCAAGTAGTAACACGCAATCAATACAGAAAGCATTTACGTTTGAAAGGAATGCATCTAGAAGTAGAAAAATTAACGACTTTACACCATTTGAATAATCATACGTTGATGTATAAAATAGAAATAGAATAAACATAATTTGATCAGAACCTACCCCGCCCACAAAACTTGGAGAATTATCTCAATGCCATCAAGAATCCAATAGACCCTTTGAACCAAAAAAAAAAAAAACTTTATAAACCACTGTGACAGAAAGAAGAAAACAAATAAACCTATGAAGTGATCACCAAGCATGAGTGACCCCATCTTATCAAAATTTCATGGAAAGCAAACTTTCCAAGACCCAAACTCCAGCTATCCAACTAAGCTACCTTGGCAATGGAAAGTCATCGAGCCAATCACCATAAATTCGATTGACCTTCTTGTTTATTTTCCACTTCAACAAATTCTTCTTTTTCTGCTCCTCCTCCTTTGAATCAAGTATACTTACAGCATTGATAGGAGACACATCATTTACAGGAATTGATGCAGCCCCAATAGCTTCTATTTCACTGCGTACACCAGGCACTTGTAACTCTGAATTGATATTGAGAGAATGCAATATCAGAAGTCAATTGATAGCAAAATAAACAGTATTATTTGGTAAGTTTTCACCTCAAATTCAAAACCAACTATTTACTGAAGTAAAAGAAAAGGCATCTCATATCTGATTATTAAGAGTGATGCTTATAGATGATGTCCTAATCATATCATAAGTATGAAAGCACAAGTTAGAAATCTATGAGAAAATACCGAAGGTCAATCACAAATGCAATTTACCATACTAACAAACCTCACCAAATAAGAAAATTTCAACATCAAATGCAATGGCTTTATGGAGGCAGGGCGGAGAGAGGTAAGATTTGTTACATCAAAAATTGCCGCAAACATCATAAAAGACAACAAGAGAATGCATATTCATGAACATAATTATCTTGTTTTAGCTTTCCCATTTGTCCAGGGAACAAACAGAATGGACACTGCACTCACATATTATGTATTGACATATATGAGCTTCAATGCATTCACCAAAAAGTCTAGGATGTATAGACTCAAACACGAACACAAAACATTCCGGTGCAATTTAAAATGTACTGCTAATTATTTAAAGCTTCACAAGTAATTTAAAGACTCAAACCACTAGAATGACAATTTAAAATGTCAAAGGTTCAAAGATGGGTTGACAATGACATTTGAAGATTCACATGTAATTTAAAATATACCACTAATTCTTTAAAGAATCAAATATTTAACAAATGTTAGTATCAAATATCAGATGTAATTTAAGGTATCACTGAAAATTTAAAAGGACAAAGACTATCTTTTTGAAGAGTAAGATATTAATGTTTTACTCAAAAAGTTAAGGGATAGGATCACAGATATGAATGCAGAAAGCCAGGTATAATTCAAAACATCACTGAAAGTCCAATGCGCCAAAGATCCCTTTCTAAAGGATAGGATGTCAATACCTTTGCGCAAAAGGAAAGAATATATGGACATAAACATGAACACATTTTTTATTAAAAAAAAAAAGGTGACAATATCAGTAACCTTAATAATGACCAGCAAGACTAGGACATAATCAAACAAACAAGAAAATGGAATTGTATGTATAATTTTAAAGTGCCTCTGCATCAACACTAACCTGCTTGTCCATGGGCAAAATGACATTTATCACCGAAAGGGCACTGTCCTGTTGTCTCCCACTTGCTACATAACTTAGTCTTCCAGAAAGGAGCCTTCCCATTTGTTCTGAAACCATCAGACCCAGTGGTGACAGTCTTATTATTGTCTGGATTACTAGGGCCATTCAAGTGCGACTTTGGAGATCCATTAGCTACAAGGCTTATAGCTGAGCTCTCCCTGCACCTCCCTGCATCATCCCTGAACTTGGACGGGTCTTCATGAAGAAAGTTGCACCTTTCACCATAAGGGCATTCCTCGCCATTGTAGTACTTCTTACACAGCTTCATCTTATGTATGATTTTCTGGTCATCGTCCCAATTTCCTGATGACCGTTCTTCATCGCGTAAACCAATAAGTTCTTGCCAATTTGGAGGTGGCTGCCTCATGTCCTCATTGCCATGAGCGAAATTGCAATTCTCGCCATTCCTACAGGTACCCATTCGGAATTTCGCACACAAGCGAGTCTTAAAAAAAATGTGGCTCGTTCCTCCTCTATTTGTTGGAGGATTTTGTGGGTGGTGCATTCTGGAATTCATGGGCGGCGGGAAGGGCGAGGGATCAAAGTGACTGCTTTCAGATGTCCTGGGCCTCTTGAACGGAGGAAGTTGATCAAATGTGGAATGTGAATCGAATAGTTCGTTGTTGATGGGGAATTGCGGCCACCTTCCATTGGAATCGTCATCCGCCGCAAATGGTAGTGGCGATAGCATGAAGGCAGAGTGGTGATCAGGAAAACTCATAGCAAAATTCTCAGAGATGAGATTGATCCGATGAAATAAAAGATGACAAAATGTACTCAATTCATACAACCCTTCCGAGACTGGATCCCATGGTAGAAGAGCCTGTAATGCTGAGTGGATTCAATAACTATAGCAGCTTCAAGAAATTGATGTGTTTTGAAGGAATGAATGATCAAAAGGACTACTTAATCACAAGACCAAATACGGGCTAACGCCTAATTCTCAGGGATTAAATCATAGAATCAAAAGATTATAAGGAAAACCAAGATTATGTACGGAATCGAACTGGAGATTGAATCAAACAGGTGGCTGGGAAGTTGGAAATTTTCAGCCTTTAATCACCAATTTAGGATTAGGAGTCCAAAGACTCAAAGCCTGTATTCCCTCCTAGAGAATAAAAAGAATGTTTGGAGGCAAGAGCAAGGTTTTAGAGTTTTATACCAAAAAGAAGTCAAAACCCTAGCCGCCTGTCACAAAACCTAAATGCAAAAGGAACAATGAATCAGCTCACAGAGATGAGTCCCACAAAAAGCCGTTAGGATTCTGGAACCTTTAATCACGCAGGAATCACCCAATAACAAGATAATTACAGTAAAATCATTATCATTAATAAATGTGAATTTCTTCTTTTGGCCAACGATTAAATGGGAAACCAAATTGCCAATATAGTTACTACTTCATCACATTTGGAACGTGTCCAAAGTATATTCATAGTGATATCTAAAAAAAAAAAAATACTTCAATCTATATTTCTCCACCTGTTAGTGATTAAATTTGAGACAATAAATAGAGCATAATGTTGAAATGTTTTTTAATCAATTAATAAAGCGTGCTTTCAAAATTATTAAAAAAATAAAAAAGAATTACAGTGAGTGACGTCTCAAATAAAATTCAATCATATATAAGTTCTAATCACTTGTAAATATTAAAAATTTTATCATATAAATATCATAGAATAAAAACCTGACTGAATCTGCAAGTTCAACTAAGAAATCGATCAACCAGTCAGTAGTCTAGTTTGATTTAGGCATTAAATCGGTCAAGAGTTGAACTAGTATCAAACCGGTTAAACCAATGTGAATCGATAAAAACTGGTGATGAATCATTTTGACTTATTATATTGTTATTAGTTTATTTTTTCTCACTCAACTCCTAATATCTTAGTTACTATAGATTTGAATGAATTTTAGTGATGATTTTGGTATCAATAATTATTAACTATAATATTGATGAATTGTAAAGATCAAAATTCTCAATGTTGTTGTACTTGTTATTGTCACAATCAAATTATTATTATATTTC